GCCCAATATCTCACAAATTTCCTCATGTGTAATTTCCAAAATCTGGATTGATGGAAGCAGTGTTTTCATATGGTAGTAATAATGTCTCAAACTCTTTCAAGCTGGTAATTCCTTTATGAATCCATCAGGTACATATGTCCACTCTGATGATTACGTGTATCATAGCACACTCTCACATTTCAGTCAAGAAAACTCACAATTACTCTCTGGTCTCTGATTCTTTATCAGAACTGCCTAAAACTTTTGGCTGAGGGAAGACATGTGGAAATTATTAAAGGAAATTTCTGCTTTACAAGAAGATATGCAGTCCATATTCAGGAAGTGAAATTTCAAATAAACACTATGCTTTTACCTCTTAGCCCCAACATAATTTGTGTGTTTGAAAATGTTTTACAGAACTTGCTTCAAAATGGAGGAAGGAATTTCAGTTTCATCTTTACTTATTTTTTTATTGTTATCCTGAAGAGAAAGTCTCGTATGTGGCCAGTATGTCTTAGGAATCATTAACTGACACTCATGACCTTCTAGCCTCAGCTTGCAATGTAGTGGGGTTACAAAAATACATCAATACTATTCTTTGTGCAACTGAATATACTTTATGATTTTCTTTGTGACTCCCTCTTTTACACATATGTGATTTTAGTTAATTTCCTTTGGTTTTTCGTTTTGTTTTGAGACAGGGGTTTTCTGTGGCCTTGGAGGCTGTGCTGGAATGCTTTTCTAGACCAGGCTGGTCTCCAACTCACAGAAACCCACCTTCCCCTGCTTGCCTCCAAAAGTTTTAATGAAATTCTCAATGCTGGTTGCATTATGTATTTGTTATGATGATGGATGTGACTTTGCTGAGCTTACAAGTCAGTGGCTATAGTATTATTTAATCCTTTCCTAGGTACATCCTGGGGTTTAAAGACATTTTGAAGGCTGGAGATACGGCTCAATGGGTAAAGCTTCCAATTTACATTAAGCATGAGAGCCTGAGTTCAAGTCCACAAAGCTGCATTAATAGTCCAGTATGGTAAGCACCCATCTAAAATCACAGTGCTCCTATGGTTAGGTGGGAGGTAGAGACAGGAGCTTTCCCTAGAAGCTGAGAGGCCATAGTGTGGCAAACACAAGAAGAGAAAACACCCTGTATCAAATGAAGGAGAAGTTGAGGGTAGACACCAGAGGCTGTCTTTTAACCTACTATGTAGCCTATACCAACACACACACACACACACACACACACACACACACACACACACACACACACACAAACCACAAAAAAACATGTGAATGATTTTGATAATGAGAGGCGATCTCATTTTTTTTCTCCAGTTATTCACTCAGGATTACCGTAAATACGATCAAGGCACGTATGCATTCCCAGTCTGAGTCTAACCATAATCCCACATTCATCATGGTAACAGAGACAAATGCCCTTCTGCATACAGAAATGTGCCTGTGTCTGAGCTTTTGTATTAGAATTACACACATCTGCCTTTTAAATTTCCAAAACAGAATACATATTTATATAGATATGAGACAATATGCATTCAGTAGTTCATGTTGTGGAGACGTTCAGGGACCCTACCACATATTACTGTTGTTTGGTTCTAGTGGAAAATGGGAACTGACCAGGACAGAGACTATTGGAGGATTCTCTGTGAGAGTGTGAGGTAGAAAATATACGTAAATCTCTAAAACATTGTCTCTGGGCACCAATATTGTTCAGTCATTTCATTTTTACACATGAAATAAATTTAGCATTTACAGTACACTTGTTAAGCAGTTACTACTTGCTTTTATTTTCTTTGTACTCCAGGATGTGGTTGGCCTGAAACTCATGGGTCCTCTTATATCTACCACTTAGTATCAGGATTATAACCATACACCACTGTTCTTGGCTCAGTTTCTATTATCAATGTTAATATTCTTTTCCTGACCAAACATGGTAAAAGTGCAAGATTAAAACTTGGGACACAGTGATGCCAGTTAACTAGTGGAGGACCCAAAACCATAAGTCTCAGCTAGACATTTAATCCCCCGCTCCCAGCTGCCCCTCCAGCACCATTGAACAGGGCTTGGGCAGCACAACAGTGTTGTGAAAGGAGTTGCTTTGAGACTATTGTGTTCTTTTTTTACGTGGACATGTTGAACGAGTAGGGGGTGGGCTCAAAAACCCTGCTTCTTGGAGAGAAAGGCATGGGGCCATCTGCGTTTTTTTTATACAGCCCCACAGTGCAGTCTGCAGTGTCTGGGGACATCTGTCAAGCTGTCTGCACTTTTCCTCTCCTTGTGCGGTGCCTTCAGACTCCACCTTCGACCTTGTCAGTCTGTACCCAAGCAGCACGGTTCTTCACACAGCCTGGTTCAGAGCTGTGCTGTTCCTTGTTTCACTTGGATAAGCTATTGCTGGGTATTTGGGAGACCTTCATTGAGTCCCATTCCCTGAAGTCTTCTTCTGGCTATGGCTGAGAAAAGACAGTTCTGCTGAACCCAGTAACTGAAGAAATGGTCAGAGGTATGTTTTCACAGACTGTGTGAATGCATCAATGCTAAAAAAAGTAAAGAAAGAAAGGAGAGTATGACCAAAGAAGGGAATGAAAGAAATACAGTTTCAGGTGGTTAGGGAACATACACTGTATGTACCATCTTGTCCTGTTTAAAAAATAGCTGTTTATTTCTGTCAAGGTACCCTCACCAGTATTTACAGTCATTGGTCGACTGTGGGATTTTAAAGATTTTGGTATATGACTTTAGTGTTCAATATAATATTACTAAGTACCTCCTCCCCCCCCACACACACAGAGGCCACAAGATACACAGGATCCAGGGCCAGACAGTTGGGGATTCAAAGCACATATCATCCAACCCTAGCAGTAAAGACTTAAAAGCATAAGAAATGTTTGGGGAGAGAGTGTGCTCAATGTCGACACTGAAAACTAACTGTTTAATATAGTGGTGCTAGTCTAAAGTGGGTGTCTGGATTATAGTTATAATATAAAAATTAAAAGAGAGATCCTGAGAAACTTAAGTTACATTTCAATTCTTCAGATGCAAAAGGAGGCTGGTGAACTGTAAAGCACACCTGTAATGGTTCACAGAAATTTCAGAAGGTGTATAAAAAGACGTTGGATGTAATTTACATGTTGTGTTCAGATTAAATCACCACTGGACATTAAGTATGAGATCTACAAATATCCAGTGTTATTATGTTTGTGAATTATGGGTAGTTTGGTATATAAGGTCAATGATCTATTCTGTAAGCTTTTGTTTTCTTTAAAAATCCACTGGGCTGTTAACTAAGTTTGCTTGAAGTCTAAAGAGAAATCATATCCTGGACAGCTCAAATGTATCAGATTTTGGATAAGCTCTTATCCAAATAAAAATCATAATGCCTATGCAAAGGAGAAAAGGATACACAACCAAGATTTCCTTGATTCATTGTGGAAAACAAGCCAGTGATTATCAGGCAAGAAGCTCACTTTCAAAAATATTAAATGTTGATCATATCTAAATAAAAGGGATTTCCAGTTGGTTACAATGAAGTTCATCATAAATGGCATTCATTTTAATTATTTAAAATGTCCTTTATGTTTGTATACATGACAAATTAATTTTTCTTTACTGAATTTCTGTGCAGCATATTTGTTAAACATGTGCATAAACAAAAGGTTTTTCTGTACATATCATCAGTTTTTAATCTGTTGAACTTCATTACTTTCTGATTCTAACATATTTTATTCCTTTGCCTGTACAAGTAGGGGCTTTAAAACAATACAAGTTTTCCAAACTTTATGATCATTTCAGAGTAAAAGTTTTAAAATACCTCATTTAGGGATATTCTTAATCACACAAGCAACTGAGTTAATAGATCTTTATTTATTTCTCTGGCATTTCTGCTAATGGATGTTTCTAGATATATAACCATTTAATGAAAAGTAGCAAGTTTCATGCACAAATATTTTACCTATTATCAGCTGATAATTCTAAGGTTTATTTTGAACTATTGGCACTAAAAATATTGCATGGCTTTAAGTCTTATTATTAATTAGTACCAGCTCTTTTTAAAAAATGTGATATTGGCTCTCCGTGTCTGTTTAGTTTTCTTAATAAGTTGCACATTAATCTTCCTGGTCATTATATCCTCCCTATTCCATGTTTATTTTGTCCCATTTCCCTGGTTTTCTTATTCCTATTGTTTGACAATATTCTTCCTTGCTTAGTATTGTTTTGTTGTTGTTTTTTGTTGTTGTTTAGATGGGAGTTGTGCTTTGACTTGGATGATTACATATTAGACATTAAGCGTTTCTTTAAAACCTAGGCTGTAAGACTCCCTTTAACAAAGTCGTTGTTCTGTTTTTTTTTTTTTACAAAGAAAACTCTACATTCAGATAAAGAAAGAGGAGTTAATGAAATGTTTAAGCATTGTGAATTCAAATAATCATATAGGGTGAGGAAAAAAGGCATGGTTCTTAATTGAAAAAAAACCCACATAAACCGCATTTTAAAAAGTCAGTGCGTGCCCATGATTAAGCGCAGTCAACGCTTTTAGAAATGCATATAAAAGCAATAGCTCGCGCGCGCCTGTGTGTGTAAAATTAGAAAAAAAACCCTACAACTCAGTGTGCAAACGGAAAACGAGACCCCTATTAGGGCGCGCGAGAGGCTGCCGCCTGGCACGGGGGGGGGGGGGGATGCAGAGGGGTGGAAGGCGGCGGCAAACCAAGTGTCTTCCGGACATGCAGAGCCAACAGAGAGGGAAAAAAGTGAAAGCCCGGGTCCCTCTGGGACTTCGGTGAAGCTGCCTTCTTCACGGCGGGACAGCGGGGAAAGGCGGGAGGATTAACCCTTCCCGGGAAGCTATATATAAAAAAAACCTAGCCGCCCGCGAGCAGACGAAAGACCGGGGCACACGGAGGGATAAACGTGTCCCGTATGTGACGGACGCGTGTTTAAAAAAACAAACAAACAAAAAACAAACGCCCAAGCGCGGCGAGGGCAGAGGCGGCAGGCTTGGCGCTTGCCCGCTCGCTCGCACACAGAAAGAAAAAAAAAAAAAGGGGCGCGCGCGCGCAGAAGCCGAGACCGGGAGAGATTAAAACCCCGAGCTTTGGGGACGGGGACGGGGACGACGGGAGGACGGGGACGACGGGGACGACCGGGGCTTCAGAAATCCAAGCCGGGAGAGCCGCGCGAGACGGAGAAAGTCGCGGCGAAAGCGACTTCCGCTCGACCGGTGTCCCCACCGGAAGTGTCCGCCCGCCGACTTCCTGGGTAGGAACCAAAGTGCTCGGGTGGGGGCCGGTTTCCGGTGGGAAGACCAAAAGTGTTGCACTCCTTCCGAGACGCCGCCATTCGGTCCCGCTCCCGGTCGACCGATTCCAGCCACCGAAAGATATCATATCAGACGGTTTTTGGACGGTGTCAGGGGCCCCAGAAACAATGGAAGAGTCTACAGCTCCCTCTGGCGTGGCCCCGGGTGCCGAGGCAGGTGCTGTGGGGGGTGAGGGTGTGTCCGCCCCCCCCCACCCGGAGTCGGAGGCTCCCGGAGCTTTTGCGGTGGCCGGTGCCGCGTCTCCGCCGTTGGCATCAGCTCAGGCTCCTCGCCTTTCGGCTCCCAGGCCTCACAGCCGTCGATCGGTGAGCTTGGGGTCCGCCCCGCCCGCAGTGGGAGGAGCCAGGCCTCCCAGTCGGGAACGCCACAGCGGCGGCGGCGCCTGGACCAAGCAGATCCTCTGCAGGTATTATCTGCACGGCCAGTGCAAGGAGGGAGACGGCTGCCGCTACTCCCACGACCTCTCCGGGTGGCGGAGGGCCAGGGGGGGCCAAGACGCCCAGCCTCGGGCCTCTGCAGATAGAGGGCCCAAGATGGCCACTCGCAGGGAGCCCCCGACTCAGGAAGAGGCGGGAGCCCCCCCGACTGCATCCTTCAGCGGCTCCTGGCCTCCGATTGGCTCGGCTGCCGAAGGGGGCTTCCCCGAAGCTGAGATTGACAATGCTGGCATTGGCTCGGCTGCGGAGGGGGGTTTCCTTGCCGCTGAGATTGACTATGCAGGCGCGGCTGCTGCTGCGGGAGGAGGAGGAGCAGCGGCTGCTGCTGCGGGAGGAGCGGCTGCTGCTGAGGGAGGAGCGGCTGCTGCCGCGGGAGGAGCGGCTTCTGCTGCGGGAGGAGCGGCTGCTGCTGCGGGAGGAGGAGGAGGAGGAGCGGGTGCTGCAGGCTGGGAGGGGGCAATCGAGTTCGTCCCCGGCCAGCCCTACCGAGGTCGCATGATCCCCCCGCATGGTCCCGAGGCTCCTCTGCCGAGCCCGGAAGTTGAGAGAAAGCGCGTGCCTGTGCACTTTGGGTCCCCGCTGCTGCCGCCGCAGCCGCTGCCGCTTTGCCGCTTCGCTGCCCGGGGAGAGTGCCTCCGTGGGGAGAATTGCGCGTACCCCCATGGAGAGATATGCGACATGTGTGGGGAGCCGGCTCTGCACCCTTGGGATCCACACCAGCAGGAAGACCATAGGAGGGCCTGCGTGCAAGCCCATGAGAGAGATATGGAGCTCTCCTTTGCTGTGCAGCGCAGCATGGACAAAGTGTGTGGCATCTGCATGGAGGTTGTCTATGAGAAAGCCGACCCCAGCGACCGCCGCTTTGGCATCCTTTTCAGCTGCAACCACACCTACTGTCTTAGGTGTATCCGCAGGTGGCGGAGTGCCACACAGTTTGAGAACAGGATCAGTAAGTCCTGCCCACAGTGCAGGGTCTCCTCTGGCTTTGTCATTCCTAGTGAGTTCTGGGTGGAGGAGGAAGAGGAGAAGGAGAAGCTTGTTAAGCAGTATAAGGATGGAATGAGCCAGAAAGCCTGCAGGTATTTTGCCGGAGGCCTAGGTCACTGCCCATTTGGAGAATACTGTTTTTACAAGCATGAATACCCTGAGGACTGGCTAGATGTGTTTCAGGGGCCAGATGGCGGTGGTGGATGGTCAAACGCATACTGGCATCACGTTTTGGAGCCTGTGCAGTTGCGAGAGGGAAAAGTGCTGCTTAAAAGCCGCAAAAAGGAGCGTGCTGTGCTTCGCCTGGGCAATCAGTTGCTTAAGAAGTTGCTTTGCCTGAGAGGCAGTTTTTCCTTCTCTGATGACCGGTGGCTCTTGCTTCAGTACCAGCTGGAAGAGTATTTCAATTTGAATCTGTAGTATCATGCTATTGCATGTGGTCTAGTCTGCTAAGGCTCTGTTGTCTGCTGTTGCTTACTTCCCTCTATTGACTGACAAACCTATTGCTTTCAAAGGCTGTTGAGGCAATCTTTATGCAGTACTGCTGTTTTCCCGATTTCTTCTCACTAGGATTGTGATGTTTCTCTGTGTTACAAGATAATAAGAAATCTTAAAAGTATTGTTTGGTGGAATTAATATTTCTGTCAGCTGATGACTTGTGGTGTCTTTTTTTCCAACAGGATTCAATCACTTCTAGTCTAGTGTTTACAGTTTCTCATTGTGAAGTCCCTTAAGAGTAAATGTGACAAGGTGACAAAAGTCTTTAATTAAATTATGAGCTTTTTGCTATATAGCCTTAAAAAGAAAAATGCACCCTTACAGGGCCTTGCAGCTGCTTGCTGTCTGTGTTTGTTTACATGTCTGTTTTTTCCCTTCTCTTTCAAGTGCAATTGTTAACTTGTGGTTACTTTGTGGTTCTGTTTGACTTGACCAAAATGAGGTGCATATGTTTACATGTTTTTAATCCTGTTTGGCTTGATGTGAAATTATTTATATTTGGAAATATATATTTAAGAATGATATATATGCGTATATGTATACAAAGATGTATTTGAGAAAAACTGGAAACAAATAAACACCATAATATATATGTTTGAAGTAATGAAATAAATGCAGAACTGAAAGCCTAATGTTAAATTCTAGGTGTACGGACTGTGTGTGAATTTTGTGGACACTGATGTCAGTGATTAGCATCAATAAAAATGACTGCCTTGTGTATTGGACTCTTTTTAAAAGACTTATAAATCATTAATTTCATAATTCCTATGATAGCATTAACAGTTTCTCTGTTATAATCACAAAATGTGTGTGCCTCTGATTGTAGTCACTGTCTCATTTTCCTTAACTATCTGGGTCTTTTTATACTTTAGAAGCAAAGGACTTTTGGCAAAAGTTTTCATAATAAAAAAGACCATCAGAGAAGATCTTAATGAATATTGAAATCAGTCAGAATATAAGAATGAAACTTAAAAAGAGAGGTATAGGACTTTTAAAATGTTAAACATAATACTGGAATCCTGTTACTACAAGTAAGCCATAATTTGATCTAAAAGCCATTTAAAAAAACATTATATTGCTTCATTTAAATTAAACTGCACTCTACCTAAAATTCTCAATTATAGTTAAAATAAAAAACAAAACAGGAGGTTTGGGGGTAAAAGTGGCAGGTGCTGTCAGTGTAACACCAAGTTTCTACTAGACATTGCTGGAGGACATGTAAAAGCAATATATTATAATTGATCTAGAATATATAGCTTTGTATTTTGTATTGAACTCACATGACACAAGTTAAGCAAATGAGTAATTCATAGAGATAGCACAGTTCAGTTGCTCTGTGGACAGTTTCACTACATCTTTTAGTAAATAAATAAAGTTTGTTCAGCTGCTAAACAGTATAGATTTAAGCCTCCAAGTTTTGTAGAACAGAGTGCATTTTCCTTGGCTTGAAGTTGCTCAAAATTATGCTATAGGTCTCCATTTTCTGGTGTACACTGTTAACTATGTAACAAGTAACAAAGTTAACTTGCAAAATTTATATTTTGTTACAAAGCATACTTTTGAAGTACTGCTTAGTCAGAACTACCTTGTGTGGCGCATGCAATTTTTCCTGTGTGATGAAATAAATGATGTAGGAAAAGTATTTACAGCAAGAAAAGAGTACAAGTAATACATTTGCAGGACAGTTGAGATTAGATGGTTGCTGCCTCTACCTCCACATATTAAGACTCAGAAAATGTGTATGCCTTACTGTGCAGCTTTTAAGCATGGGTTAGTCAGGCAGGTGCAGCAGGACATGCATAAGTTTCCACAACGTGGGGCTGTTTTGGAACTTTTGTCCATGAGTTGCAAGGCTCAGTTTTTCATAGCCTGTTGACAGTGTAGCTCAGCTTTCCATATTGTATCATGCACTCTCCCTTCTGATGTAATTACTGGTACTCTGAAACTGTGGTACTCCAGGGGATATGCCATAGTGCTTCCCTCCTAAATCCAAGTAATGCATCAGTTAGGAGGCCCTGGACAGCTGACTATTACCCTATGGACTAGGAGTTTGGTGTGGATCAGATAAGCCAACTAAAGAGTGAGACCAAATGGGGCACTTTAAAGGATTGCTGTCAACTCTAAAGGAGTTTCTGTTGTGGCTAAGATGTGGTGGGGGGTTTGTTTTGAACTTTGAAGATTCTGCAAAGGTCAGTGTGCACTGCACAACCTCATGAAATGACAGAATTTTATTGAATTAGTATATGGAAATAGGAAGTCGTAATAAATGTCACGAGTTATAATGTTTTAAGGCTAGTAGAAAAATGACATCCTGAATGAGCTTCTTAACCAGCCAGCATGTCATCTAAATGAGTACTAGTGTCCACTACCTCATTTTATACATAGGAGAAATGGGTGCAGTGTTAATATGTTTTGTAGAATAATTGTGCAGACCAGGTGCAGTGTAGGGAAAAGACTCTTTAAAAGGGTTTAGAAGCAAGGAGATTCTGCATACTTATCAACCCAAGTGGCTGTTACCTGAATATGAATATTCTACTAGGTTTTTCTTTTATGAATCTTTGGAACTTGGGGTAAAAATTAATTTCAGATTATTTCTGAAGATGTGTGTGTGATTACTAATTTTAATAGAATTTTTTCCAGCAGAAATCATATTTAAAACTAAACATGTTCTATATAATTGCTTAAGAATCCCAAACAGCAAGAAAATTTTTATAGCAGACACAATAATGGGGAAATAACAAGATGAGGTTTTTTAAAAAAATTTTTTTAAACAATCTTTTCTCAGTTTACATACCAATCCTGGTTTCCACTCCTCCCCTCCTCACCACCCCACTCCATCCACTCCCCAGACAGGGTAAGACTTCCCATGGGGAGTCAATGAAGTCTGGCAAATCTCTTTGTGGCCCGACTAACCTCCCACCTCCATATCTAGGAAGAGCAAATCAAAATTCGTTTTTCACTAATCAGTTCATTGAGAAAGAGGTCAATAACAAATGTCACAAACCACCAAGACCAAGTGAGTTTTTCTCATCTTGTTCCCAAGAAGACTATAGTTTCCAGCCTGCCATACTGGGAAACAAAGGACCCCTTACCACACAAAGGTTTGCTTTGTGAGGGATTCAGATCCACGTGCCCCCTACCTCAAAAGAGCTTGAGAGCTTCACAAAGAACTGTGTTTCTAGCTGCAACAGGAAGCCTGATGAAACACACTTAGTTTCCTTATGCCTCCTAAGTATAAACATGAAGGGTGTACATAGAAACAACCACACTGGTGGGAATTTACAAAATGATTACTCAGTAAAGATACAGATGCCACTGTTTGTCATAGCTCACATCACGGATTACATATACAAAATCCCACAGACACAGAGAAACCTTATCAGTCCACAGACAGTGGCTTTCATGCTGCCTTTGGCACATTTGCCAATCTTAGCCGTGGCTTCTGCTGCCGTAGTTTATCCCAAACTACAACCGGATGGCGCTGGGTATAGCTGAGAAAAGGTACTTTGGGGGAAATAATACAGTACTAGTGTTGTGAAATAATTAACATGTCAAAAAATTTGCCATGATAATATATGGAATGCTGACCAAAAACAATTGACCATGTAGTGGATCACAGTGAAGTGGGCATCTTATTTCAAAGTAGGAATTGCGCTCACTAGGAATTTTGGCACTAAACTAGATGTGATACTTAATAGCATATTAAAATTAAATGGAAGGATCGGGATGTATTCTAGGAAAACAGATTACAGAACAAAGGAAAATTTTTAGCAAAAGAGATAGTCATGCAAATATCTTCATGTGTCTAAACATTAACTATAAACAATAAAACAACATGTGACATACATAAGTATGTATGTACATATCTCCTTTGAATTCAGAGTTTTGTTAAATGCACATGAAATAAAATTAGAAGCGATGAAAGCAATCATTAAATTAGAGGAAAATTGAAGGATTACATAGAGAGGCTTCACTAAAACAGTTTATAAAATGTATACTTCACTACCAATCTTTGTCAACAAAATGAAAAAAAATACAACATACAGTGGAAGAATTTTCTACAGAGGTTTTATTAGGCATACGTAAGGATGCATCATTCAGCCAGATGACAATTAAAAGGAAAGCCATCTACTACCCTAAAAACCAAGAGAATAGTTTCTCTACATTTTATTTAAAACATGGCTCTTCATTGGATCTCTAAGGAGTCATTGCTTTAGTCCTATTTTACACAATTCAAAAATTAGCCAATGGAGAGGGCTACCTTCGCATGTTATGAATGACAATTTCATGTTAATAGTAACACAGTTAACAGATAAACGCAAATGTTCAGTCTTATGAATTCTTCTGTAAGAAATAAATAGCACAGGCGTAGTAAAATATTTCAGCATTGTCGTCTTTTAATATATTGGTACTAATCATAGTCATCTGTTTTGATAAGAAAAAAAAGCAGTTCCCTGTTGTCAGTAAGCATTCATTTTGGTGGGTAAAACTGTACAAATGCATGAAATAACAAAATGAAGCAGAGTGTGACATCTTCCAGAGAGTATGCAGCTTTCTCCTCAGTGGGTGTTCAAAATCCAGAACTAGCTAGAAAATCATAAAAAGCGAAGTAAAGCACTATGAAAATGCTATCATAGAATTTCTGTGATAAAGTAAGAAGTAGAAGCAGCAAAAGATCTGTTTGTATTGTAGCAAGGCCCAGAAATACATATAAATATACATATCCTACAAAAGAAACACTTTTCAAGATGCCTTAAAGAATACTTAAGACGTGAAGTTATATTCCACTCAATTTGATAGGGAAACTTGGTATTTATTAATCATAGCCCAGTGAAGTCCAAATAGGCCATTTACAATCTTAAAAAAAAGGAAGAAATTTAGGAGATTCTATTTGCTGGCAAACACAGTAAAGTCTGAACAGTTTATAATAGTAAAAGAAAGCTGTGCTTAGTGGCAAATACTTGTAATCCTAGCATTTTGAAGGCAAAGGCAGCAAGACCGTAAGTTTCAAGCCCGACTAAGATTCTGTCTCGGCACTGAAACACAGCTCTGTATGGTGGGGTGCTGCTCTGGACATGAAAGAAAATCATGGCTTCAGAACAAGTGGTAATGAGATTCAGTGAGTGAACCTTGGCATGTAATAGAACAGAGTGCCATGAGTACCAAGTATGAAGAGGCAAAGTGTGGCATTCAAATTCATCTATTTTAAAAATTGTGTGTGTGTGTGTGTGTGTGCAGGTACACACAATGCTTAGCAAGAGTGTATATTTATCAGACTCACAGATATATATGTTAGACCATTTATGATACAGATCATTAAAACAACTTGGTGTTATTTAGTAAAGATGTGTAAACCACAAAATCACTTAGAAAATTAATATGTGGGGCTCATTTTAAATATCTTATAGTCAAGGATACCTTTATAACATATTTTGGACAGTACTGAGAAGCAAAAACTGCGTGGAGTGTATGCTGTGCTCCTGTTTGTTCTAAGGACATATTATCTCATTTGATTCCCCCCCCCCCAGTCATCCTATCATGTAAATTCTATTGTTAACAGCTTGCAGCCATTGGGAAAACTGAGACTTAGTGAGGTTGAGATTCGTATAGCCACAGAGTCAGTGATAGTCCATCAGATTACAGGTCTGACTTCTCAGCCACTGCACTGTCTTACTATCTTAAAATGAGCAAAACCAGAAGAAAAGGTTCCTGTATAACCAAAACTAAAAATGTGTAGGGATACTGGAGAGATGGCTACAAAGTTAAAGAGCTCCGGTTGTCTTGGTCCAATTCCTAGTTCTCATCTGGCAGTTCACAACTGTCTGTAATTCCAGTTCCAGAGAGGTGCATAGACATACATGCTGGCCAAACACCCATACATATAAAAGTGGAATGAAAAAAGGTTACAAAACGACAAATCATACAAGTACCTATTTCTATAGCGTATAAAGTCTTCAATAAAAATAAATGAACCAATACAATTATGCTTTAATTTATTAATAAATTAATAAAACTGCATTATTTTAATTAAAATTACAATTTATTTTTATTAATAAAATTATGAAGCAGACCTGCACATAATATGAAATGCAAATCCTCGTAAACATGAGAAAACCAAGCACACTTAACTGTGGCAATTATTAAAACTGTACAAAATTTAAATTCGTCTAAGACCCAGGTGTTTGCAAATACTATGTTGTTGAGGGCTGGGGAAATAGGCAATATTTTGCAGTGTTTCTGGTACGTAAATGCGTCCTGAAGGAGTATTCTTCTCTATGAGATCACTCAAAAGAATGCTAACAGCAGCCTCCACCAGAACAGTTATATATATATATATATATATATATATATATATATATATATATTTGCAGATATATATGTTACAGATATAAAACCCTTTATACACAAATACACAAATGCATACTATATGTAGGTGAGTGCACACAGAAATCACATAAGTATTAAAAATGCAAATTTCAGATGTTTAATACATGTGGCTCCTTTGTTTTGTGAAGAATCAAAATGTAAATTTGTCAGACATCAAAGAGAAATACTTATAAATGTCTTAATGGAAAGCAAATGCCTATAATGGAAACATCTGGAGGCTAAGTCAGGTGTCCTGTAAGTTAAGGCCAGGCTGGACTTGCAGTGTGTGACCCAGCAGTGAATCACTGGTGCAATCACCAGGAAAAGACAGCTAGTTCTGTCAGCTCCTGCAGGTGCAGGCATGAATTTCCTGATAGGTCGTGGGACTCTGGCATGGACACGTGGTACTATGGATTATAAAGTTGAGTACAGTCATGCGTATATGTCTCTTGGACTCCTCATCCTGTATTTACTTGAGCTTCCTGAAGAAAAGCATTTAAGAATTACTGAAATGATAACTGAAACCCTGGTGAGAATGTCCAGCATTTGCCTGTGGCCTTTACCTACGCATACCCACATTTTTCTGCATGAGCATGAATATACAACACATGTATATAGCAATGGCTCGTTCTAAATTCATAGAGGGTTTTTTTGGATTATTGAATTTGATGCATACTTGTGATTCTATTTCCTTGTTAAAGACTTAGGTTGTGATTGTTTTCTTGTGTTCTCTGTGCTGTCACACCACTCTCCTACCTCTCTTTCCTGTATGTGATCTCTAATCTGTTTTTTAGTTTCATTTATTTTGTGTGTGAGGAGATACACAATCCGTCTGTGAAAAGATTAAAATGCTACTATTTGCTATAATACATCTAGACCTGGAAACCAAATTTACTTTTAAAAAACTGACACACAAGGTGGCCATAACTGAATGATTTCACTCCTATGGAATTTCACAAAGCTGAGCTTATAGAAGTGGAAGCTGAATATAGCGTTGACCAGAGGTCAGGAAGTGTAGAGAAGGCTGGCGAATAGGGAGAGTAGTTAATGATCATTCAGGTAGTGACAGAGAAGAATGAGCCCTGGTCTTCGTAACACGGAAAAGTTGTCGTATTTAGCAGTGAACTATTTAAAATTAACAGAAAGCAAAATTTGAAAGTTCTCATCACAATAAAATAAGTATCTGGGAATATAGGTAGTCTCAGTATCCTGAGCTGATCATTACACAATGGACAACTGTGTGAAAATACAACATTGTTATATTTTCCTATTAGACTGTGAGAAAGTATCTGGAGAAGACATAATTTTTCCTCCTCAAACCCGGTGCCCACTCTACTATACACATAAAACCCCACACACAAAGTTACACACTTTTATAGCAGCCACTAACGTCCATATTCACTATAAATTCACCAGCACTCAGAGAGAAACAGCACACAGACAGCAGAGTAATCACACAAACACAAGTCGTCACATATTCACTTTAACAGGTACATTTAATACCCAGTCTCATATATGCATTCACATACTAATACACCTCACACAAATATATACCTGCCACACGTGTATTTGTTAGTACAATACATATACTTAAGATCAGAGAAAGTTTCCTTTACAGGTTCTCAACTTGATATGTTATTAAAATTTAAGAACCAAGCTAGCAGTGGAATCATATTGCACTTTGTACACCCAAGCATAAACAAATGCATAGGCATCTTTTCAAGGAATCCCACAACGTTATACCCATTCACAAACACATCAGCGTTTTGCACGCAGAACAAGTTTCCCACACAGAGAAATTCATTTACACAAATGGCTCACACAACCCATAAAGCAAACATTTACACATGTGCATGCACAAAATTAGTCACAGCCCTCTATTATACACTCAAGTATGGTCATTACCGATATGAAAATAACAATACAAGTATGCACAAACACATACATTTCACACAGAAACATACCAAGCAAACCCAAACACGTACAAGCTCATGTTGATATGTACATACAAAAACACAAACATGGCAGAGTAGTACTTTTCATTTCACACACATCTTTTTCCATTTGCTCTATACTTTTCCAGCTGTCTCTAGCATTTTTTTCTGTGTAGAATTTGTAAAATTCTGCATCTGCATTTTCTTCTCTTAAAACTTTTCTTCAGGACTGTTTACCTTACCTCTGTTCACCTAAATGGTTGTGTGTGTGTGTGTGTGTGTGTGTGTGTGTGTGTGTGTGTGTTTTGTCACCATCCAAATCTGCATTAAATACTTGAATATCTTTTCCTTGCTAATTTATCATTGTTCCATTCTAGGGCCTCTCTCCTTCTCTGGATCTCCTGTTACTTTTCTGTTGTGAACCCTTCACTCTGAAGCTTGCATATTCCATGGCTGCCTCCTCAGGTTCTCACTGATGATGATTGCCTCATGGTGTATACTCCATCACCTTACCCATTGCAGTTCACCCAGGACATCAACTCTCTCTAGGTATTTATGCAAATAATTCTGTCTTCAACCTCCCCTGTAACAAGCCTTTAAGCCATATGAATGCGTTGTGGGTCTCATCAAATTCGTTCAGAACAAAGCAGCAGGTCTGTGCATTATCATAGCATGGCAGTGTGCTCTGACAGTACTTTGTAAATTTCAAGAGATTGAACTCACAGTCTACCTCATACCCAGTTCTCTACCCAACTCATACCCGATTTTCTTGCAACAATCTCCAAGGCTTCCAAGCTGGAGACCACCTTTAGCACTTTTAACTCACAGTTCTCTCGTGCACCGAATTGAAATAAATTAGCAAGTTCTGACCCGACCCTACTATACCTTCGGATCCACTGCTCCTGTCCTATTATCTCCCATAGCCTTCTTGTAATCAGCTTTCATCCTCATCACATAATCACAGCGGCTTCCGTCTGAGTTGCACCCAAACCACTCTCCCTCCCCTTTCGGGCTGATCTGTGTGACTCTGTGGGGAGTTCTTGTTACTTCCTTTCCGAGTGTGTAAGTGATTTCACATGAGACACAGGGAAAGGTGGAGCAGCTGCACAGAATTTCAGGGGGAATATTAGCCAGTGAATGCTAATGAGTGCTCTGGTGTGTGTATGTGTTGAGGTGAGCTTCAAATGACAGCCTTGATAGTTAGATAATTAAAACAATTACTCCTAATTGTGTGAGTGTTTTGCCAACACGCGTGTTCATGCACGCGCGCATGCGTGCAACGCCCTCAGGGGATACAGGAATGTCCCCTGTACCTGGAGTTACAGGCTGTCTTGAGCTATCATGACCCCAGGTCCTCAGCAAAGAAAGCAGCCCGTGCTTTTAACTGCTGAGCAGTCTCTCTGGCGCCCCCTCTTGACTGCTTCATTCAAATCGAGCATTTACCATCCCACCCACTGTCAACTGTTTATATCTGGTTTGTGTACTCAGCGCAAAAGTCTGTAGAATTCAGAAACCCCTCAAACGCAACGACACTTGCACCACTTGGACCACAAATCACATTAGCCCTTTCTCACTCACCTGGGCTGAGAGGCCTTCTCTTGGGAAGAGGGTACGTTATCCCCCAAGTACTAGCTTTGCTGTGTCCCCACACCATGGACACCTTCCTTGAATTTTTTTTTTGTCCCCTCTCACGTCTCGCAGTTTTTAATTAAGCTTTGGCTAAATTTGTATTGACTCAGCAGTTAGGGAAGAGAGTGGGTGCAGAGTTTTCTCTAAACTTTGCTGTTCCTTTGGTGAAAAGAGCCCTTCTTGCACTCTGGGTTAAAGTAAACAGTTTCTTTTGTGAGCAAAGCTAAGTTTCCCTGTAAGAATCTGACCCTAAAACAAAGGCATCAGAGGCAACCCAGCCCTGGGCTAGGGGGTTGCATAGTCTTCCCTCCAGCGCTCTCGGCCACTAACACTAACCCATTTTTTTTTAACAAGACCCATACATTTATACCTTTTTTTTTCACATGTAAAAGTTGCAGGCCACAAGAATGGACAGCAGATTTTGGGTCACTGACATAGCTGTAGTGAAAGTCGGTTTTATGGTTTTATAAAAAAAATAAAAACTAGTGTGGCTTACTCAAATTTATGTTTAAAGGGGGCATGTTATCCCTGCTGCTATACTATGTCTCTTTTCTTCACTTTTTAAACCCTGTCAGTACCCTTTGGAAGACGGAAAGCAGAAAGTATCTGTTTCCAAAGGTATCCTTCGGCAGCAGCAAAGGTTCATTTCTCTGACTTTATCCGTACATGTACGAAACTTCACACCAACTTGCTTTAATGTAACATGCAGAATGACAATTCCTTTTGTTTTGATTAAAAACAATGTTTTGTAGATTTTAAAGATCCAGGCATCTCTCCATCTGAACCTCAGAATTATTTAGAGCCCATTGTTATCTATGTTTAAGGAAAAAAAATACACTGAAAAACCTTGTGCTTAGAAACAAGAGATGTAAACCAAATTACAATTAAAAATCACTCAAGTTTCAAACAAAAGCTGAGCAGGGTCACAGTGCAGGCTTCTACAGTTAGACTTCCTGATGAGCTTACATTTACTTGTCCTGCCAGACTTAAGTGTAAAGTTTTTAACTGCGCTTCTATAAAATAACAAGAAGCAGAAATGTTCAGTTAGAAATGAGGCAAAGGGGAAAACCTAGCCATGAAGCACGCCTACAAACGTACCAGGACAATGCAAGTATTATTTTTTCTTCCTCTGTCGGAATGACAAGGAGAAACGTTCCTAGGTTTGCTGGAGTTTTGTTCTCCAGCTTCCACTCTGGTGGTCCTTGATGTCTGGTGTCATTCTCTGCCTAGGCTGTCCCGCGCATGCGCCATGCCGGGTCCGTAAGTGCAGGAAAGGGGTTTGGAGGGCGCAGGGGAGGCAGCCCAGGAAGACTTAACTCAGACAACCCCGAATCTGCTGCTGTCCAGCGCGGGGTGGGGATGGGGAGCGGGAGTTGGAGGGCTCAGGGGAGGCAGCCCAGGAAGACTTAACTCTGATAACCCCGAATCTGCTGCTGTCCAGCGCGGGGTGGGGATGGAAGACTTAACTCAGACAACCCCGAATCTGCTGCTGTCCAGCGCGGGGTGGGGATGGGGAGCCGGAGTTGGAGGGCGCAGGGGAGGCAGCCCAGGAAGACTTAACTCAGATGATCCCGATTCTGCTGCTGTCCAGCGCGGGATGGGGATGGGGGGAGGCGGCATTTAATGCATCAGACATGGCCGGACTCAGCCCTGTGGCTGCGATTTGTGTCCCTCTACTGTGATCCAGGCTGAGATCCTGCTGCACCCTCCAGGTGCTCTTGTGAAATGGGGAACCTGCAAACGACCTGCCCTGTGCCTGGCTGCCAGTAATCTCCAGCAGGACTGACAGGAGGGTCGCTGGGGGTGGTGATGGGTGGGCATCTCTTCTCTAAGCGGGTGACACTCGAGAAAAGGACAAGAAAATTCTAAAGCACAGGAAGGAGAAAGTGTGTGTGTGTGTGTGTGTGTGTGTGTGTGTGTGTGTGTGTACTGGGGGGCAGTAACCCACCCTGGTTCCCAGCCGCCCCCACTGAGCTCTGTCTGCCTTCTGTTACCATACTGGAAGACTCCCAAGTGTGTCTCAGGCACTAAGGTCCCTTTCCTAACACCTGACAAATCCCAAGAGGTTCGAAAACCAATGCAACAGCACAACAGTGGGAGTTTTATACCGTGAAAATTTTTGGAAGAATATTTCCTAAAATAGACTTCGGGGCTCTTTTTATTTCTTCTTCTTCTTGTATTCCAAAGACGCTGTTCATCTTTCTTCATCACAACCCAAGTAGAATTTTATTAAAACACACCACCTTCTAATCAGTCCTTACAAATCAATCCTATGATCAAATACTACTGAGTATAATAACAAATCAAACAATAGTGAAAATAAACTAAAAGGAGTTAAGTTGTTAAAGTGTCTCAACAAGAATTATTAAAAAGCTGCTCAACACCTTGATAGAACTGTAACATTTTAAGGTGTGTGTGAAACAAATTAGTCTTGTGCATTCAGTATGTCCCATCATATACTTAAGAACAAGTAACTTCAAAATTACAAAAAAAAATTCTAAAGCATGCCAGTGTCAAGCATTTCATAAAGAATTTCAGCCTCTGTTACAGTCATACTACCCAGTACTCACAGGTAAGTGGGTTTGGTGATGATTATCAAAACAGAAGACATGAAGTTGGGAGGGAACATGAGGGGAGTCAGATAGGGAAATCAGGGATAGCTCTCATAATACTTCTTTGTGCTCATATATTAAATTCTTAAAAATCACAAAAAGGCAACAGGTCATAGACACAGATGTGTGCTTGGATAATTTGTAGACATTATGCAGAATGTTCTGAGAGCTTTTTGACTTCTTGCCATCGATTTAGGGAGACTAATATTCTTTATAAAACTTCAAAATAGGAAGCTGCTTCTCCAGCCTGCCTGCAGAAGCCCACCAACTTGCTACTACTGTATGAATAATAAAAACAAAACACAAAGGCAGTGTTTCATGCCATGACCACCGGAGGGCCGCCTAGGATCAATCTTGGAATGGTAAGCAGAACGAAATGCTTTGCAGTTTGGAGCAGAAGATTGTACGCACCACTTGAATTCAGAAGGTATAACGCTTTAGGGAAGAGGCTTACGGAATACGAACAAAGTAGTGTGTCCGTGTATATGTGTAAGTATGCATTCATGCAGGAATGTGAACAAACGTTTACATAACGAGAAAGTATTTAGATTGAGACCCGATCCATTATCTGGTGACCAAAAATGAATCTTAAATATTGTTCTTTGTGGAAAAACCTTGCTATCTCTAGACTGGGAAGGGAAAATAATTCCCAACAGCATTGTGTAAACTGAACAGACTCAAGCCCTGGGAGACTTAAGAGTAGATGCCTGTCAGTTCACAGAGCTGAAAAACAAGGACCGTTCTGAGCTAGGAAGTCACTCGCCTTAGATGCACAGCGGTGTGTGTGAATGGGTGTGAAATACACAGCATGAATTGGAACTCCCAACTAGGAAGCAACGCAGGTCTCATCTCCTCCCTTCGCACCAGAGGAGTGGGGTCCTTGGCCTTCACTTTGAGGACTTTGCATGGTGGGAGGTGTGGTGAAGAGAATACATGAAGAAAGAGGCATTCCAAATTGCTGGCACTTGTCTTGGAAACTTTATGACTAGTTTTCTTGTTCGTTTTTCAGCCCGGTCACCTGTTTGTTTATGGGTTTTGCTGTGAGAGAACTGCATTCAAGATTCAGGTTTTTCATTTCTATATGTGACTTGCAGTTGATTCAGCAAGGCCAAAGCTTTTCCTTCTCTGAACAGTGACTCTTAAAATAATTTTTTTTTTAGTAAACACAAATCATCACTTTTCTTTCTTAAGGAATTTTGCCATTTTATTGAATCTAAGAGCCCACCAATAAACAAACAGCAGATTTTCTCCTGAGTTCTCACATTAAAATTTCACAGCTATGCTGCTTTATGTTTTGATTTAAGACTCATGTTGAGTTTCTTGTGTTATAAGATAGTAAGTTAAGTGACAATGGTCATGTCTGCCAACTTCTTACAGTCATTTGCTGGAGAGATTAACTCATGCTTTTGCCTCCCTTTGAGTATTTTTCCAGTGGTCAGCTAGCAATTTCCTTGCCCAACCATTTCTGGGTTCTTCCTTCTGCACTGTGAACCTCCAAGTCCACTCCCCCACTTACAGTGTCTCTTAGGGAAAGCATTCCGTACCTAGGTGAAAATACGATTGCCCCTTCCACATTTCAATACTGCTCCCTCCACAAGTAGCCCATATCAAAACTTAGAATTCCAAAGTCACAGTTGTTGCTAGCCTTGTGTTTCACCGGAAAGAATCTCCAAAGATCACGCTGCAAGCAGAAGTCCCTGGCCTCTTGGTTATGCTGTAGGACATGGGGGTGGAACGTAGACAGTTACACGTGCCAGACAAACGCTATGCCATTACACCCGTCCCCCAGCCCCGTCAGTCTTGAAAATGGGACTGGCTAAAAATACACGTGAAAGACAATGTGCAATCACGGTTAGGGTACTGGGGATGACCAAAACACCTCACATACTCACAGAAGCCCCCGCACCCCTGAGGATTTGTGACCCAGAGGCGGCCCTTGCTTACCTATCTCTCATATTTGATATGACTTATGCCATTGCGTGAAACGTCAGCCCCTTGCCCAGAAAGACCCCACAGAGAGCTCTGTCTTAGCTCACCAAATGTCCCTCCAGAATCAGCTTGTCCTCAGTCACGGTGGAGTACCCATCATAAAGTGTCTGTACTAAACTCTGTCAACTAGCCGTCTTTGAATTTAGTTCTGTGCACGGCTCACTTTCAATATCCTCACAACAGGAGACTCTACACATATGGAAGACTGAGAACTTCCGGACCCCAGCACAAGATGCTCTCTGCTCTGAGCATACGGTGCCTCACTGTGGTTGCTGAAGCCTCCTTACCAAGAGAGAAATCATGCATGTAGGGAACGGCAGAATCTGATATTACAGGTCTTTTGAATTCCAAGAGAATGTCATCCTCTTCATATTAACCTCATACGCTTGAAGGATAGGGAAAAGCCACCCACTGACCTCTCAGCGCCTTGTCTGTTCCTTTAGTCTAAAAGGTTGTGGAGAAAACCAGCTGGAAATTTCATGGATGATAGTGACAATGCTGTAAACATCCACCCACATTAAAAATAGTTTTATTGTTTTAGGAGTACATGCATATTATATTTTGATCACATTCACCCCCTTTACCTTCTCTTATTGCCTTCACACTTTATCTGGAAGCTTTTCTGCTTTTCAAGACCTACCCTCTGACTTTCTAGGTTTAATTGGGGTTGGGGGCATGTTCACAGGTGTGGGTCATTTTCTTGGAGCATAGACAACTGATCAGTATCTGCACCCTTAAAGGAAAGTGACTCCCATTTCTCTAACAGTTTTTGGTGTCAGTAGCTTTTCTGCAGTGGGTACAGCCTCATGAGTCCCTACCCTATCCAAAATAAAGTGATGATGGCCTCACCCCTGTACAAGTTTTGTGAGTTCATGAGTGTGTCAGCCATGTGACCTGGGGTCGTAGCACACCTGATAGCCTCCAAAATCTCACTAATAGATGCCCATCCCCTAAAACCATAAAGTCTGCAGAACTTGGCAAAGGTCAATAGTGTTTATGTTGGCAATGAGTTTGCCCCACGGGGAGGGAAATGACCACTACCATAACTCCTCTTTGAGCACATATCTTGTCCTTACAAATTCCACCTCCTGGGAATCATCCCAATCTAAAAAATACTATATTGAAATAGTTTTAATGTCGATAAAATGCGAGACAGCAAATCACAGATCATAACATTATGTTTCATTCACAAAATTACTAAAAATTCTCTGTAGTGTTGCTTTCAGGATATTTGTACATGATGTTTGTTAAAATTAATAGATGTGGACATCAGTGTGCATCCCATCACTGGAAACCTCTAAGTATAGGAGAATGTTTAAATTTTCCACATCTGATATTCAAACAGTTCTGTCCCCAAATATGCCAAATCAAGAATACTAACCATATAGAAAAGCTACTAAGAAAACAGTCCAATGTGCATTCAGAGACCTTGTGAACCATCTGTGGAAAATCCCAGTTTTAATTAAAACATGCTTTTGGGTTCTCCATCTTCAGTGAAGTGAAAGTTTATTGTGCGTGTACGCTGTGGGATCTGGTTCAGTTAAAAATCAAATGAGAGCATGAAATTTACAGGGATGTGGTTGAAACTGCAATTTGTTATACTAATTAAAAAAAGTCAGACTCAGTACGAAATAAGTTTCCCTAAGGGATTCTAGAAACTTGGAGTTAAGGTTTTAAACCTGCAGTTTAAAATGTGGCCACCAGAGGACACCATAATCCTAGTGAAGCTAATGTTAACATCAGAAAAGTTTAAAAAGCCGTTATTTTACGTAGGAGACACCAGAGGGCAGACAAGGACAATCTTAGGACCATAGAAAGACAGAATCAAGTTTGCAACTATGTTTTAAATGGTTGGGGAGGTGGAGAACACTTTGCTATTTGTTTGTAGATATGGATGCAAGTTCTCGACATCATAATGCAGATTAACAGTGAACAACCTAGGAGGATGACTGTCTTGTTCTACAGAACCTGAGTTAAACAAGATCTTCCAGACTGAGGCAGACACACATTTAACTGGATAATAGTAATAAGCAGGTATTTGCAGTGCACAGTTATAGGCTCGAACCCTACTAGACAGTTATATGCATATTATTGCACACCTTTCCATAAAATAAATTCTCCTGTGTAGTTATGTTTAAACTGAGAAAGGCACAATATTTAAAAAAACAACTAAAACAAGATTTCTGCAATCTACATGCAGAAATCTTGTGATTATTTTACATATCTTTATTGTTTGTTGCTCAGTTAGGCCATTTGTATTCTAATCATGTAATTGTGCATTCTAGATGCATATCATATATGTGGTGTGCCACATTTCCCCAAGGCTGAAGAGAAGCAGATTTTGCAGAAAGAAAAGATTATTTTACTAAAGACAACTTAATTCTTTTTCGCAGATCATGCTTTACCGCTGCACGTAAAAACTAATCAATAAACCCATAGGCGTGTAAAATTTCTCTAAATTCCCTATGACATTGCAGTACTCTCAATTCTGTTTGAGAACTTTTGAGTTCCCGCGTAAGATGTGCATTTGGTGCCTATGGTCTCATCTGCATCTTGACTTCTGTGTATCAAGCGTCGTTTGTTGAAATAAGTGTCTCATTAACGTCGGTTTGCCTATGTCCCTTTGCCAGGAATCAGCTTGACAGTTGGGTCCATGCAGTCTACTGCTAGCTATCGTTTGTGCTTGCCTAAAGCGTATTAAAATATTGCTCTTGTTGCACTCGAATCTACACTGGGAAGATGTACAATTTAACAAGCAGTTCCCACATCTTCTGTCACTGCATCGATGGAAGAACCCTCCACGGACTGGTGCAAACAGGAAGTTCTGTTCTACACGTGTGTTTATCTGCCTGGAGAACAATTGGACCCAGGCCCTTTTGCATGCCAGGCAACGGCTAAAACATTAAACATCTCCAGCCATATTTTCTTTACAGGTAAGCAGAGGATATGCTAAGTTATAGATCACATCAAAGACGCCCAGCCACAGTTATTTTATGGGAATAGCAAAGGCTGATAAATTCCCACAGCAGGTAGGCGCCAGTTTCTCACATTGTATGTCCCCAAGAGACTCAAGCAAGCCACATAGCTCTTGTGTTTTGCAGGTATGTTTGACAACACCTGTCCTATCTACATTTTCTTCCCAGTGCCAAGTATGCAACCATGTAAAAGCCAAGGCCCCACCTCCCTCCAAAATGATGTGACTCCAGTGAAAAGCTGTCCATTAATTTATCATCTCCTCCCCCCCCCCCCCGTTATCACATCTTGACCATGCCAGAGAAGCTGTCAGAACATCTCTGTAGTAAGCCATGTCTATTTGCTGCCTATAGTATTGTGCTCAAGAGGCTTCTATGCATATTTTGTCACCGCACAATGCATCTTTTTTATTATTTAGAAGCAATGTTATTTTACATATCAATCCTGGTTCCCTCTCCTTCCCATCCTCCCATGTACCCCACAGACCACCCCCCCATCCCACCCCTTATTCTTTCCCCAGGGAGGGTGAGGCCTTCCATGGGGGGAATCATGAAAGTCTGTCATATCATTTGGGGGGAGGACCTAGGTGCTCCCACATGCATCTAGGCTGAGAGAGTATCCCTCCACGGGGAGTGGGCTCCCAAAGACCATTAGTGCACTAGGGATAAGTACTGGCTCCACTCTCAGAAGTCCCATAGACCGCCCAGGCCTCCTAATTGACATCCACATTCAAAAGGCTTGGTTCAGTCCAATGCTGGCTCCCCAGTTTTACGAACGGGGTCCGACCACACTATATTTCAATTGCTGATTCTTCCCACCATCTGGCCTCTCTTTTAGGGTGAGGCACTGCCAGATCTCCACCATACAGTGGTGTAGCCACAAATGCTCTTTCTACATTAAGCTCAGCATGTTTCTAATGAGGAGTTTCTCATGCAGTATCCTTATCAAGATTGAACACTTAGACTTAAATCCCTGAAATGAGGGTTACATGAGTTTCAACAAAGCTTCCAAGAATACACACTGTGGAAAGACAGACATCTCCAACAAACTGTGTGGAGAAAGTTCACTATTCACCTGTAGAAGAAGGGAACTAGACATTTAGCTCTCACACTTCACAAAATTTCAACTTCAAATACTTCCTTGTAAAACCTCAAGACTTTGAAACTGCTAGAAGAGAAAGGCTTCAGGTTTCTGGAAATTGACAAATGGGTCATAACAAATGTAAAAGCTTATTACAGCAACAGAGATGGTAACCCTTGTGTGTATCCCTTATATGTGGTCTAATATGGTGTATTCAAATTAGAGTTTCTCTAGAAGTCAAGAAAATAGGAAGATGCCATTGGCAAAAAGATGCCTTAAGGGAGGGGAGACTAAAACATAATTGAAATGAGGGGGCGGGAATGGGGTAGAAAAGGGAGGATGAAAAGAAGAGGGTTAAACAAAACAAAAGGGATGACAAAAAGCGACAGAGAAAGCTACCGTCTTGCAAACAAATTAAGACATATAATTTATATTTTTAAAAGTGGGAAGGGGAGACAGTATGTGTCCTGGATAGTTTTTGTCAACATGACAAGTTAGGATCATCTGGAAGATTGAACTACAATTGATAAAGTATCTATCAGTTTGACCTATAGGGAAATCTTCAGGGCAATTTTCTTAATTAATTAATTAGTTAATGATTGATTGATGTGGGAGGGCCCGGTATACTTCCAGATGCCATAACTTGGCCAGCGGTAGTGTTGTATAAGGAAGAAATTTGAGCAAGCCACAGGAACAAACCAGTGATCAGTGTTCCTCCATGGCCTTTGCAACTATGTCCCGCCTCCAAGTTCCTTATTACGCTTCCTGTCCTGACTTCTCTTCAAAATGGTCTATAAGCTGTAAGACAAAATAAACCCTTCCCTCAGCAAGTTGCTCTCATTCATCATGTTTACCTCAGAAACAGAAAGCAAACTAAGACACGATGCCTGGATAGAAAAGGCTGCATCAGGGAATCGTGGGTTAATAAATCTCCACTGCCAAGGGGTTTGACACCTCCCTACGAGTTGGTGGTCAGAGATGCCTCAGAGCCCTCCTCCAAAACACTGTAGGCTTTCCCGTTCCTTCAGATTGCCCACTGAAGCAGAATGGCATGTCTCCATTACTGCTGACACCACACACCTCAGTTGCATGGTGTAGTAAATCAAACTGAAGTTGAGATCATAGCTTCTCCCCTGCTGGCTACCTTCCGCAGCGCCAGGAATAGCTATGCACCTTGCTGAGGAAGAAAAGGCATTCCTAGCCTTATCCAGCTGTGAACTCTGCGAAGTACGGGCTCACTCAAGATCTTCCCAGTTGGACAATGATGGCATCACAATTATGGGGATAACTAGCCACATTTTCTCTGGATTTGAGGCCCACTCCACATGAGGGAATCCAGGCCTTAGCCTGTAAACCTGCCAACCTATGATAGAGGACATCACAGGCCCTGAAGGGAAAATGGATACTGTTGTTTAGCTGAATGGACATAAAATCAACCTACTTTGTAGTTACATTTATAGTAAAGCATAAATGTCACTTTCAACCTTAATCAGGGTAGCCTCTCTTTCCAGTGAATAATGAATGTACAGACATGTGATTTCACAAGGGGCAGAGAATCAGTGACAAGTTAGTGATCATCCCTAAACGGGACACTTATGTCATCTCTACGGCTTGGGGAGCTCTGTAGAAGAGCAGGTGGGAGATCCAGGATACTGGGCAAAGGGACGCAAATTGCCGTCTTCAGGGCAAGGCGTTGGCACCGTAATCACGAATTCACAGAAGCTTCCAAATGCCCGTGTCCCTTTAGTAAGACATGGGTGGGTTCCAGCTCAGGGAACGTTACTCCTCCCTGATG